TGTGGGAAGAGACTCAATCTCAGTCATGATTAAAGATTGAGAATTAAGATGGTAAACCATTTGAACAAGGAATAAAGAGATAAGCATAGCCAGTATTGCTGACTGTGTGAAGTAACTGCTCACACATGATCATACACAGTTGGTGTAAACTAGTATAATTTTTGAGGAGGAATAATTGGTAGTATATTTTAAAATAAAATGTACATACAATTTTTTGACTAACTAATCAAAATTATCATACAGATATACTATATATAAATGCACCAAGCTGTAGATACAAGGATATTCACTAAGAATTTTTTGTAATAGTAAAAAATAATCCATTAATGAGCTGTTTAAACCATGATAGCCCATGCAATGAAGAATGGAGGTAAGTCTACATGTACTGATAAAAACTGTCTATAGTAGCTTATTAAAGGACAAACTGAAAGAGTATTATGCTTCTATTTTTATGAAGAAGATATACATCAGCTTTTTATGTATAGAAATGCTCTAGAAGAAAACATAAGGAATTTTGTATTGTGACCTCTGAGAATATAGGAAGGAAATATTTGCCTTTTACTGCATTCCCTTCTGTATTGTTTGAAAACCTTACCATAAACATGTATTACTTTCACAATTATAAAAGATGAAACTAAACCTTAATTAAAAATATCTAAAGAGAAAAGGAGACCAATTACAATATGGCTGAAAATAGTTTTAAAACTAAGTAAGTTGCTACCTTAGAAGATGAACTTTTGTTTGCAATTGTTATATCATTAGGTGATTCCTCCATTAGAAGGGGGAATTTCTCCATTATTTTATTTATTTAACACTTAATAGTGGCGACTTTATACCAGCCACTATTTTTGCTGTTTCACTTATCATCCAATCAAGGGGTGCTTATTATCCTCATGTTATAGTTATAGAAAATAGAGCACGTAGATGTTAAATAACCAAGCTAGTAAGCTAGTTAGTAACCAGTATGCCCTAAAGCTAACGTTTAAACCCAGAATATTTGGCTCTAGAAAAACCATACCTTAGCCACTATGCTTTAGTGCCTCTTGAAGTCTACACATTGTGAGTGCTACTTGGAGGATCTAACTGTATAATCTGCTAAATAGAGCATGTCATATATTCCCAACTCTAGGACACTTGAGATCAAACCTGTCTGCTTTTCAGATGCTTTATAGTATCTAACAGGAAAACAAGATGCTACAAGACAATACTGGGCCCTGTTAGCTATGGAGTAACAATAGGTTCTTTTAAATAGCTCTCGAGGTTGACATAAAACCTTAACATAGCATCTCTTTATAGAAAAAGTTATGGTTAATTACAGTCCTCAAAGATGAAAGGGATGGGCTAGAGGCGTGGCTCAAGTGGTAGAGCACCTGCCTAGCAAAGATGAAGCCCTGAGTTCAAATCCCAGCAAGACCACAAAAAAAGATGAACGAGCTAATCTCAGCTGCCCCCCAAAAGTTCATGTGTTAAAGGATTAGTCCCCAGGTGGGCATTATTGGGAAGTGGCGAAAACTTTAAGAGGCAGGGCCTAGTGAGAGGCATGCCCTTGAAGGGGAGGTGAAGAGGCTTCCTCTGCCACATTCTCTCTGTCATGGTGTACTTCCACACCATAGGTCCAAAAGCAGCAGGACCACTCCACCATTGACTGAGAGTTCCAAAACTATGACCCAAAATAAACATATTCTTTGTGTAAGTTGATTATCTCAGGCATTTCTTAAGTAATGAAAAGCTGACTAATACATCATTCAAGCTTGCTGGCTATGAATGTGTATCTTGAAGGAGTTTCTTGCCTAGCATTCCCCTCAAGGGTTATGTAAAGTCAGATTAGGGTTACTTTTTGAAATAAAAGGTAAGGGAATAAGACCTTAGTGCTTTCTGTGAACTGAGACACAATTTTCTCAGTAAAGACACCTGTTAACAGGTCACTATGGATAAAGTACACAGGCAAGTAGGCGGGAAGACGATGTGATGCTCTAAGGCTTAGTCTGAATGAGAAAAAGAATGTGTCCTGGTTGGGAAAAAGGAAGTGGTCAGAGGTATTTTTGATGGTTGCACAAAATGCAAGTGTGGTTGTCCTGACTTAAGTTTTCTGGAACTTCCCTTGGCTTCTGACCTCCTTACCTTTCTCTATTTGATTAAACTGGTTAATCATTCTAAGAAGAGATTTTTTTAAAGTCTCGTTTCATGTATCTTTAAAAGAAATCAAGGAAAGGGAAATCAAATTAAGGGCAGTTATACTTCTCACAGTAGGGTATCCCTGGTGAGTTGAAGCATGGGGATGCATCCAAATCATTTTCAAGAGAGTGTGAAGAAACATTTAGTTGTTTTTTCCTACCCAAGACCTTTGATACAGATTTATGAAATGAGGAATTAAGAAATAATGAAGACTGGTAGGGTCTCTATCTCTAGGGGCTAGAGGCAGAAAATTTATCGGGGGTGGGAGCAAGGTAGTCTGCATGGAAATTAGGAAGTAGTTGGACAGATGGGAAAAGAAGGAGGGCATTGTTCATAAAATAGCTAGAAGAATTAAGAACAGAAGTGAAACTGGTAGATGAAGCCAAGCTTTGTCTCTAATAACAGGAGCAGTTTCCATGGACTGAAGAGACAATAGGAGGTTTGCTACAGGAAATGAAGAGGGTAGCAATGAAAACATAAGCATGAGACCTAGTTGAATCTTGTATATTTCAACATCCTCTCATACAAGTAAAAATCCTGGTACAAGCATGCCTTATCCTATTGTGCTTTACAGATACTGCTTTTTTTTTTTTTTCTGCAAATGGATGGTTCTTGACAACCCTGCATCAAGCAAATCTATCAGTGCCATTTTTCCATCAGCCCCAATAATCATTAGCATTTTTAATAAAGTATTTTAAATTAAAGTATCTACATTATTTGTTTCAAATATGTTATTTCAGGGATAGAGGCAAGCAGTAGAGTACCTTTTGGCAAGCACAAAGCTTTGAGTTCAAACCCCAGTACCACCAAAAAAAAAAATTACTGCAGGTTTAACAGACTACACAATAATGTAAACATAACTCATATGCACTAGGAAACCAAACTATTCATGTGACTTGCTTTACCACAATGGCCTAGAACTGAACCTTCAATGTCTCCAAGGTATGCCTGTACCCAATAAAAACCTGATGAATGAATTCTCAGAGAAGAAAATCCACTGAATGCATAAATTCCTTTATTGAAAATATTGGAATAGCACTGCATTACATATAGTCAATATCCATAAATGAAGGGTCACACATTTCTGGTTGGACAATACTGTTTTAAATAGAGAACAAAGCATCTGGATATGCTCTCATGAGTATAGTATCATGGACTCAACTAGGTAAGAGTGAACAATATGTAAAATGACCATTTTGTTCAGTAATAGCATCTGGTTGCACATGGCATAAATGGTAAACACGATCACCATGAGACATTCCTGGTACCTATCTCACACCAACTCATTTTTTAATGAGATTAAAGTTAAATTGCTAATATGTGTTAATCATGAGTTCTCAATAGGAGAATGTGGGTTAAAAAGTATGTGTGGGTTACAGATTTAGAATTTTATAGCATTCATTTAAACCTGGAATGGGAACATAGTGTAGTAACTGTTGATTGACAGGATGCCACTGGACAATTTTTTTTTGCTCTTTTTATAAATAGTCTAAAAAATAAGAGAATAGTCTAAAAGAAATATTCTAGGAACTGTTTCATTAAAATACAGATATGTAAATGCTGTTTATTAATTTTCCTTTCAAAGACCAGATTACTTCTCAGCTTTGTCTGTTATTTAAATTTTTTTCCATTAGCAGTCTTTGGCTTTCATAAAAGTCTGGCAATTATTAATATTGGTTAAGTTTTTAACAAGGCTTTATTTTTTTTTAATAGAAGATGTTGTAGTATGTGAAACTGGGTTGATATTTTAAAAATAGGTTTTCCTTTTTATTCCAGTTTTGGTATGAATAGATTTCTTTGCACTGCTTTTTCTCAAGTAAGAGTCTAGAAACCAAGACAATTGGTCTAATTTGAGGTTTTTTCATTTGACTTAAAAAATTCAGAAATTATGCGGGGCATGGTGGCTCATACCTGTAATCCCAGCTACTTGAGAGGCAAAGATATGGAGGATCACTGTTCGAGGCCAGCCTGCACAAAAAGATAGTGAGACCTCCATCTCAACAAAATATGCTGGCTGTTGTGGCATACGCCTGTCATCTCAGCTACATGGGAGAGGTAGGTAGGAGAATCGCAGTCCAAAATCACTCGGGCAAAAATGCGAGACCCTACGGGGAGGTGGGGGACCTACTAAAAGCAAAATAACCTGGGGGCCTGGCTCAATTGGTGGAGTTCCTGCCTAGCAAGCAAAAGGCCCTGAGTTCAAACCCCAGCACCAGCAAAAAAAGAAAGAATAAAGAAAAAAGAGCAAAAATTAAAATAGTCCCTTTTAAAACAGAGGCCCACTCATTAATGTAAACACTTGGAGGGAATTTGTGGGAAAACCCTCCCCCAAAATTTTGAAAATTAAGTTTTTGTTATTAAACACAAATGATTTCATAAAAAGAAAAACATTTTCCTTTCAGAAGCAGGGTTTGTTCATATGGTTTCCAATCTATGAATATCAACTTATAGACTGTGAGAGATGGTATATTCTGCTTTGCACAAATATGTTCAGGGTTATTTACTATTTTTTGGGGGGGTTTGAACTCAGGGCCTCATGCTTGCTAGGCAGGTGCTCTACCACGTGAGCTACTCTACCAGACATTCATTGTTCAGGGTAATTTGAAGTATACTTCTTAATGACTAAATAAAAAGAGGACCTATAATAGTCAAATCAATAAACATTGGTCATGAGCTTTTAAAAAATTCAGAAATATATATATTTGTATATACTACTTAAGACCTACACACCCTAAACAATCAGGGCAAAAAAAAAATCAATATAAAACTATATAAACCAAAGACTTGTTCCCAAAACATAGCACAAAATGTATATATTCCTTTATTTCAGGATTTGACACATTGAAAGAAAAAAACTGCCAACACATTTTTGACAATGTACTAGAAATAATAAATAAAAGTTTAAAAATCATATATTCCCTTTAAGTGCTATGTCCTTTCAGTTTTTCTAAATGAGACTAACCTTCCAAGGCAAACAATAGCTGTACATTTTGGTAGTGAAAATTATGCTGATAAATACACAAGGCATGTATATATTTCCACAGTATCTTTTTTTTCACAGTTACCAAAAATAAAAATTGCATTCAACTCATACGTCTATAAACACTCTTAATCTTCACTGTGTGGATTTGAAAGGAGTGTAAGTACAAAGTCTTTCAACAATCTGGACTTCAGATGTCTTTCTTCAGTGTCTGCCCTCTGCATGTACCCTTGAGAACTTTTCTGCGATGTGATCATGCTGAGATGATAGCAGAAAGAAAGCGTCGTGATAGGATGAGGCAGCCTGGGCTGGGTCTTTTGTCTTCCAGCCAGCTTTAGGTGGGCTGATCCAATCCAGTCTATATTTTAAGGCAGCCTGAATTTCACTCAAATGTCCACACCTCCAGGTCCTGAACTATGAAGTCTTCCTTTTTGGAAAGAATATCATTATTGAAAGTGCTGCAAGAGTTGCTTCGTCCGTGATATAAATCAGCATCGAGCCACAAACCAAATCGTCCCCTGAAAACAGATTAAAGAAATAGGGTGAATGCAGGACACTTTCTGTCTTCCCTTGTCTCATCTTCTTTCCTTTATGCCATAGACAAAACTAAACTGCTTACAAAGTAAAGGGCATAGTTCCTTCAATTTATTTGAATGACCTCTTTCCTAAAAGACAAGTGGTAACAGTCTCTTACTTAGGCACATGAAAAAATTTTATCTTTGATTCTTAGTGTCATATGTCTACTGTCCTAATTAATCTAAGCACACAGACTAGCTAAAACCAACTGACACCAAGGTTTTAATCACCCCTCAGGGTCTGTTTTCAACTGGCAAATTTCTATTGTCAAGTGGAAAAAACAAAAACAAACCTTACCCTCCACCACCAAGTTCTAAAGAACTTATGTCTCCATTAATAAAATATGAATTTTCTCCACTCCACTTGAAGACCTAGGGGCAGAAACACAAAACAGAGAGCAGACATCTCAATCTGGAGAGAATTCTCAAATAGGGCCTCTTAGATAGGACTGTTGTATAGAAGGGATCCAATCCCCCTTGCCTGAGGAAGCTCCTGATTGCCAGATCTGGCTCACACCTGAATGAGACTGCCAAAGGGCTATGAAAAGCAGGAAAAAGACCTTTCCTCCCTGGTTCCCAGACTGAGCAATTCCCAGGACAGGAACCCTAAGCAGTTGTGGGCTACTGTCATGGGGACCTGAACCAGGCCAGAGCAAAAGAAAATGAAGTTGTAGGACAGATGCTGCTCCAGTGCCCGGTCACCCGGCTCACCCCCTCCCCACCACTGCTGACAATGTGACACTGGGAAGTCAAATATTTCTCCCATGCAGGTACCTTGAAATGAGGGCTAAATGTGTACAGGAATGTTTCGCCTGTGCCATAATAGTGGTCACTGAACTTGAAGGGATGTGTTGCATATGCTCCAAAGATCTGTTAAAGAGAACAGAAATGTTACCTGCTTTCAAAACTAAGCTTCCCAAAGAAAAGATTTCTGAAATATTTTTGATATACTCTTGTTCTGAGATCTCATTATACCCCTTTTAGCAAATATTACTACTAAATTAGAACTCAAGTAGGAAAAAAAAAAACCACCAAAACACAACAATCAACAAAATGCACCCAGCTCTAATTGGAACACAAGTGGTCAGGCATCCTGGCACATGAAAATTCATCAGACAACTCATTTTAAAATCTGTCCCAGTTTTAAAAGACTGCTAAAGTCTAATATGTTGACAAATTTCCTTTATGATGAAATAGAAGTATTAAACAAGATGTGCCTTGTACCCAGAAATGAGCTCTCGGAGAACAAGTCACAGCTCTTAAGTGTTTTATAAACGCAATCATGGTCTAACATTTCCCAGGAGAAAATAAACTTTTCACCCTTTTGATTTGTAACAATGACTTTCCACTATGCTTATCAAAACTATAACTGAAACGTGACAGATTAGTACATCTTAGTTTAAAATGACTTTTAATAAACAAGTAACTCTAAGATATTATGGGCTTTAAATGCAGTTCAGATGTGTGAGGTCCTTCTACTTTTTCTGTTGGGAGGTGCAAAGAGAGCCGAGTTACATGAGGAGCAGTATTTTCAGAATAGCACTGTCTCGGTGTCCTGTACTTCTGTTCAGAACCTAATCAGTCCTCGCAGGGGTGAGAGTGGCAGGGTGAGCATATATATTCTGAAAATGTGCCTCAGTGATTCAATACCTTCTACTCCAAATCCCACTTGAACACAGTGCTTTAAATGGGGGTTATTTGAAAAAAGTCTCATGATTTTTCAAAATTATTTCAACTGTATCATAATCAATTACCATTATACTTGTAATACTAAATATCAGAACAGATGTCTAGAACTCTAATTAATGATCTTCATACTTCCTGCTGTCAAATTTTTCTCTAAAGCTGCTAAGAACAAAGAAAACCACAATTGTAACAAAACATCAAAAATATTTTCCCTTTTCCAGACATCTTTTAATAAAAGAACTAAAATAAAACAGGCATCTGTTGTTAAAAGCATGATGCTGAATTATGACAGGAAGGACTGGAGGTGTGGCTCAAGTGGTAAAGCCCATGAGTTCAAACCCCTGTCCCACAAAAAATTCTTAAATTATGACAGGAAGGCCATAGGTGGAACATAAGTCCCTCTCAGATGAATTTATAGGAAAAGTTATCCTTACTCTCTTGCTCTCTGCAAGATAATAAATAATTTTATAATTTCTTAGGTAAAATTTTTAAAGCAATCTTGAAAATCCATTTAAGGACCAGGAATGTGAATTAATGTTAATGCTGTTAGATATACAGCCCTGTGATTATGTAAGAAAATGTCTATTGTCTTTTTTCTATTAAATTATTTAGGGAAAAATTATATAAAGCAATATGTACCTATGGTAGTATTACTAGACTACACTGGATTTTAGTCTCTGAAACACACTGTGAGTGGGGAATAAGAAATGCTGGGGCTTGCACCTATAGGAGGTACACTGTAGATGACTGGCATTTGGAGGCAAAAGGAACCTCAGGTTGTTGGCCATATGTGCCCAGAATGAAGCGTCCAACAGTCCAAACTGCAGGTTGTTTGAGGGGTAGGTTATGTCTCAAGTGGCAAAGAATCCCATTGCTATTACTGAGATTTATTGGATTTTCTTGAATAAATATTTCTTCACTTGCTGTATGCGCTTAGGACAATTCCCAAAGACTTTAAGGAACTGTTGTTTTTATAATTTCTACCAGTCATGGTTCTTCCCCTGTGGATTCTGCAGAGCTCCTCATTGCTGACATTCTGCATATGAAATATTTTTATATTACAATTTAATCTATTTTCAGAGAAATTTACAGGCGGTGCTCTATTATGTTTCCCTTGGGAATGGGGATGAGGTAGGGAAAACAGAGCTAGTGTCTGGTATCCTCAAGCAACACAAGTATCCCTAGGGTACACAATTCCAAGACTCCATTTATGACAAATGGGCAACCTTCCTTACATGGCTGGTGACAGGATGCTTCATCGATACCTGCACCATATGGACCACCTACCACATTCTCCACATTTGCTATCTTTGGTAAACAGACAGAGAACTAATAAATATTTTTGGTGTAGGTTTGTGTGTCTATCCAAACTTCATCCAAAACATAGCACCCAACTTCTCAAACATTTCACTAAATCCCTACGTAATTTCATTTTAAACCATTTGCTGTTATTTTTTATTTATTTTTATTTTCACTGAACCAACTATTCAGCTTGGATCATTATTAAACAAAATATCAATCGGGAAATAGTAATAGTAAAAATGATAATAAGTCTCCTTCCCACAATTCTCAATACTAACTAAAGATTACCATTGAGAAAGATATCTTCAGCACTCCCATCTCTCCCGTAATTTTTCTCAAGATAAATTACATAGCATGGTCTATTTCTCTTAGAGTGATCTCTCATGAAGAGATAACAGGTTGTTAAGGTAACATGTGTCTCACAGCAAGCTCCCCAATGCATAATGTAAGTTAAGCATCCCTAATCTAAAAACTCAAATCTGAAATTCTCCAAAATCCAAAACATTTTAGTGCAAACATGAAGCCACAAGTAGAAAACTCCATGCTTTGAAAACTTGTTTTATGTACAAAATTATTTGAAAATATTACATAAAACTACCTGCAGGCTATGTGTATAAGGTTATATGAAACAAATGAATTTTGTGTTCAAACTTGGGCCTCATCCCTAAGATATCTCATTATGTATATGGAAATATTAAAATAATATCCAAAATTCAAGCCATTTCTGGCCCTAAGCAGTTCGTTAAGGGATACCTAGGTACTCATTAGACAATACTGAATAGATACATAAATGAATGTGGATGACTACTGAATAAAAGCTGCTTCAATGTTAGAGGGTAAAAAAAGGATGGCAGCCACATCTTAAAATCTTAGAAGAATTTCCTTCTTAATGTAACACAGATCAAACTGAAAGGAATGAAGAGCAGGCCTAAATGATACCTTCCTTCAGTGACTCAAGAGCTTTCTTTCATTTTCTACTGGGAGAAAAATGAAAGAAGCCTGGATAGAGTCTACTCATACTCCAGGCTTATTTGAGGGAAGAGATAATAATGTAGGGTAGACAGGATAATAACTAGATTTCACCAGCACCTTCTGGAAAGACCAACTGTCACATAGATGAAAGTGCAATCAGGATTGCACTTGTATTCTCTGCTGCTGCTGAGCAGCTGGGCCCCTAGGCACAACACCTGAGGCTTTGACCAGCTTCCATCACAACCACCAGGCAGGCAAGGTTTGTAGGCACTACTTTAGCCTCTTGGAAAAAGCGCTGATGTATCATTGGAACATATTTCTGCAATTATCTCCAAATCCAGACTTGAATTTCCCCAACTTTTTTAGCTTTAAATTTTGTATATTATTAGTTTCCTATTCCATGGGCAGCATAGGAAAAAAAATTCCCTAGGATGTAGCTATATTTGGAGATGTGCTCGATTTTCTTTTTAGAGTTGAAATATGTAAGGGAGAAATGATATAGAAAATGGAATTTACTTCAAAATACTTCAGTAAAGAAAAAAACAAGGATTAAAGAAAGAGATGAACCAGGCACCAGTAGTTAACACCTGTAATCCCAGCTACTTGGGAAGATGAGATTGAGAAGATCGTGGTTTGAGGCCAGTCTGGGCAAATCAGTTCATGAGACCTGATCTCCAAAATAACCAGAGCAAAATAGACAAGATGTGTGGCTCAAGTGGTATAGTGCCTACTTTGCAAGCATGAAGTCCTGAGTTCAAACTCAAGTCACACACATACACAAAATAGATGAACCAAATGTGGCAAAATCTAGCTAGCTGTAGAATCTGGGTGGGAGTTCATTGCACAAGTTTCTCTACTTTTGAGTAGGTTTGAAAATCATCATTAAAACATGTTCTCTATGAATGGAATAAGTAGGCCTCACCTGATTATCCATATCTTTGATGACCAATAGGACAGGACTATCCAGTGATGCGGATTTCCGATAGAGAGTTTTCAAGCTGGTTCCATGCTCTAATGTGCTGTAGGCCAGTCTCCATGGATACCCTTGCACCCTTGCTGGAAGGCGTCGAGCTAGCTGCCAATCCAAAGAAGGAAATATAAATAGATAGCTCAATTCTGAGTTGTTTTCGTCTTTTTCTTGGTTGGTACTGGGGTTTTACCTCAGGCCTTCATACATGCTAGGCAGACACTTTGCACTTGGTAGGTAGGCGGCTGGCACTTGAGCTATTCCTTGAGCCCACAAATCACTTATGAACTGATGACATAAAATAAGTGCCTATGGCTCAAATTAAAAAATCATTTACTTACATATTGTTCCCTTTACTCTAGCAAATATTTGCCACCATAACTCAAGAGAGAGAAGGGAAAATCATTGCTTAACAGTGTTCATCTTGGCGAGGATGCTGCCCAGAGGATGCTTCCCCACTCAGGGTCCAAATGGGCTTCCTATGTCACTGCTACTAACAACTACAGCTATCTACACAAGTGAGAGCAAGAAAACACAGGTGCTTTATGCTAGAACTCAGAGGGACTATATCCACTTTGTACCTGAATCTTTTATCTATATCTATTTTTAGCTTAAACTTAGCTGCCTTAAGTACCAGCAATGTACATCTCTTAAAAAATATTATAAAGGAGGCTGTAAAGTGTTAAATCTTCAGAGTGCTTACCATCAATTCCAGCCAGTGGCACCTTGAACCGCACCTTTGTCGCTACCTGGCCAAGTCTCTTGGCTTTCCTCGGTCTTCAATGGCTCATTTGTAAACTGAGGGAGTTGAACTGACTTTTTTAAGGACTCTGAATTTAGGTTTCTAAGTTAACCGATGAAAGAAGTACCAGAGGTTCCTTACTAAGATTTAGATATAAGCAAGTAATATTTCATAAAATTCAAGTAGCAGATATTCAGAAAATATAAAGCACACAAAGAAAATTACAGAATAAGGAAAATTCTTCTTGCAGGCAAATGTTTTTTCACAGTGCAAGAAAGTGTATTTGCTGTATTACTTTTATTGAGCCCTACAGATTAAAGTAGGATAAACTGGGCTCTTTTTAAGTGCATTAGGACTATGGTAGGACACTTCTTTCGCTTTCCTCTCTGTCTCTGGTCTTTCTCTCTTTCTCGTTTCTTCCTCCCTGACAGGGTCTCTCTATGTAACCCAGGCTGGCCTTGAACTTGCCAGCCCCCTCCTCAGCCTCCTAGATGATAAGATTATACACATGCACCACCACGCCTAGACAATTTTTTTTTTTAAGATAAGAAATGGCTTTTCCTTCAGGTTTGAGAGAAGGATGTTAATTCATTATTTATTGGAGGGGTGGTACTAGAGTTTGAATTTAGGGCCTCATGCTTGCTAGGCAGGTGCTCTACCTAACTTGAGCCACTCCACCATCCCTGTTTTGTGTTGGGTATTTTCCAGATAGAGTCTCACGAACTATTTGCCCGGGCTGGCTTAGAATGGCGATCCTCCTGATCTCAGCGTCTGGAGTAGCTAGGATTACAGAAGGCTGCTGTAACTTTTTAGAAGCAGTGAAGGGATACCCCTTTAATAGGCTGCCATGTTCCTCTTTTCTAACTTGGTTGGTCTTTCACTCTGAGTAAGAATCAGAGCAAATGGAGTCAGGGATTGGAATCTTTTTAAGGGCTGGAACACCTCTGTCATAAAACCTAGGAGAGCCCACCTGCTCTATGTGCATGTTCTCCAGGAGAGCGCTATGGGGCTGCAGGATGGGCAGCCCCTCGTCATCCTCATCCTCATAGTAGCTGCATGTGCTCTTCCTGCGTTTGGCCTCCTCAACAGTGATGATCTGAGGTGAAGAAACAAACAACCCAATACAAAGGATGAGTTTTCCTTTCCTTAACTGCTACAAAAATCACCTCAGGTACACAACTGCCAGAAAAAGGTGGCGCTTTGGTAATAGGAGATAAATTGTACAGGACTTTGAGGAAATGGCTAAATTTTTGAATCTACAAGAAAATGCAGAATTTAACACAAGAAAGCTGAGCTTTTAATATGTACAGATTAAAGTCATGAGGCTTCTAATTTTGCTATTGCTGCTGATTGCTCAGTCCTTGAGTGAGAACTGTTTATAACTTCTCAAGCAATTTATACACTTGAAAATGCTCTAAATTATTCTTCTGCAGGCCACATGTAAATTTAAATTATGAAGGAAATAATCAAGAATCGTTCAGTGAGTAAGTCTTCTATAAATAGGGAGTTTGGAATGATCAGGAGAGTTTTTAATCAAGGTTCCTGGGTTTTCTCCCAAGGTTGTGTGCATAACAGCCAAGTCTAATAGAAGTAATGACTGTCAACAACAGCAGCAGGAAGTTTACTCCAAACTACAACCAGGTAGCAGCTCTTTACCACTCAGAAATGACCAAAATATTCCCCTCTACACTGAGACACACTACATTATACCCAATATTTAATATTTAATTATAGCTAAGTTTATAAACTATCAAAGTCTTCATTTTAAAAATCTATTTCTGCACCATTGAATTATTTAGAAATTTAGTTATATTAGGCAACTAATTCACCAAAATGAATTGTACCAGTATTAATGACTATTGTATGATAGAGAAAAAGCATCTAAGTTACATTTAGTGAAAGTTGTTAGGTAATGTATTACTCAATTTCCCAAATGCACTGTGACACATACAAAGGATCTACTGCCATCTGAGCCAGATTTCTGGTAGGGAAATCAGCTTATAATTTTACCATCTTCAGAGGGAGAATTTATGTAGAAATAACACTTTTGAGGATCACAAATCCAGCATTCAAATATATTAAATAAAGTACCATGTTTTTGGTAAACTCTACATTTACTATAAATACAAAATAAGGCTGTGAAATGAAAAAACCCATATACGGGTATCTATTACAAAAGGAAGGGGCAACCATACCATCTCCCACCTCCATAACAAATAAAATATAACCTGCTCTGGTTGAAATGCCAGTGCAATCCTTTCTAATTAGAACGAATCTCAAAACATATGGCGTGGTAGCTTACTGAGAATTCATAGTACCTTAATACCCCTCAGGAACTTACACCCACATACCTTCACAAAAGGCTCTTGGTCAGGTCTGGCACAATAGAAAATCTGAATGTCCAGTGGCAACCTTCGGCCTCTCATTATGACTGGAGAGAAGTATCAGCTTGCTCTCTAATGAGGAACAGGTTTTTTCTCTGTCTCCACACTAGTCACTTGCAGCCACACTGAGCTACAACTGTTTTTCAGTATCTAGCTTCCTGCATGATTGAGTTTCTGTTTCCCTTAGGAGGGGGATTGGTTCAACATTTCTACAGGAACACACCCAAATTAGGATTTCGAGTGCACACTTCCTGTCAGGAGACTGTAAAATGACACTTTTACCTCTGCAGTGGTAGTTTCCAAACATTACAATAAAATCTTATTGTTTGAGGTTTCCTCTTCCCCCCCTCCCCTTCTTGTACTTTCCCTCCTAGTTGCCCTCAGGGTAACTTGGCCTTTCTTGCCCTGCCTTTTCAAAGTTTTCTTTCAGTACCTTCTTTAAAGCTAAACCTTCATCTTAAATGTTATGTTTGTTCCCCAAATCAGCTTGACTCTCAAAGAAAAGATGAAAGGAAACCTTAAGTGAGGTAGGTTCATTACAGTTAAAACAATGATTACTGAGTGGGCGAACATCTGGTTTATTTGAGTCTGTGAAACCTGTCATCTTAAGATCAGTTTTACAAAACAGATGGCAAAGTAACATTTATCTTTTCACATTACAGAATTGATCTTAATGACTAATAAACATAATGAGTTCTCTTCTACTCCTCAGATCAGAGGTCAGAGAGTAGGAAAGAAATGTAGATCTTGCCTAGATCAATTTTCACCCATCTTTCTGAGACTCTCCTTAATGCCCTTTCAGACTTGAGGACAGTTAAGGAGATGGCAGTGCTTCTGCACAGCCATTCTGGGGTAGACTGTAAGATGGTCTCTGGAAGACTAGTGACCAGCCACATGTTAGCCAGAGCGGACCCTCATTGCAGGAGCCTAAACACAGCCTGGAATAGAATCACTGGATTCTGTGCCAAAGAGACAGTGCCTTCTTCAGTACGTGGCACTTCATGACAGCTAATATTTATTAAATACTTCCTATATGATGGTGAGAACAAGGTACTTTGCCAGGGACAGGGACACAAAGAAGTCCACAGTCTCCTCTGGATAGTAGAGAGGTGCAGTAGAGAAGCAATTATAAATGAGTAGCAATTCATGTGACACAGATGCTAAAAGCTATAGAGGTGCAAAGCTTGGGGTCACCTGGGATGTCCTGAGATGGCTTATTCACAGAGGACATGGTGGTTCCATTTATAAGAAGAGAGTAGGGAATGGGGAGATATGCCAGATGGAGGACCTGCAAGAATGCAAAGGTGGGTTCTAGGTTCACTATGGCTGGAGAGTAGAGAGGAAAGGAAGCAGAGGTGAGGGAAGTGCAAGAGTAGAGAAAATGAACACCTTGATGTTATGAAGGGGCCTGGAACTTGTCCTACACATCAGTATTTCTAAGACTCAGCTATTCTTTTTTTTCTTAATGTAAGATATTTATTGCTCTGTGCATTTTTATTAGCATATAATAGTTGTACAGGGGGATGCATTGTGATATGTATACATGTGCTTATAATATATCTTAGCTAGATTTATCATTCTCCCTCCTCCCCCCTTCTTAGAATAATTTCAATAGGTTTCATTCTTCTCTTTTCATATATGAATACAAAATACATCCACCATATTCATCCTTTCTTTATGCTCTTCCCCTCTCACTGGTACTCACTCACCCCTGAAAAGACTTATTTTACCCTCCTGTCCTTCACTTATTTTTAAAGTGTGTATTGATAGTCTAAGGGGGTTTTGCTTTGGCATTTCAGACATGTATGTATCTTGCTTATTTAGATTACCCCTCCCCATTATTTACTCTTTCTCTATCACCATGCTCCCCTACTAATTTAGCAATTCATAGTGCATTATATTATATTCCTATATAGATGGGTTGTTACAGTATTTTTCATTCTCTAACATTTTCTTTCCCTCTCCCACCTCCTGTAGTCCCCTCAGACAGACTCACTAATGCAATCTTGTTCTCTCACTATGTGTGTGTGTGTATATATATTTATATCAATATGATCATATATGTATTTATATGTATATTTAACTTATAGGTCTAGCTTCCACATATGAAGGAAAACATGCAACATTTGATTTCTGTGTGTATATGTGGCAATAGTGGGGTTTGAACTTAGGGCTTCACTTTTGCTAGGCAAGTGTTCTACCACTTTGTGAACCACTCCCCCAGTCCTTCTTGGTGTTTGGTGTTTTCAAAGCACAGTCTTGCAAACTATTAGCTCAGGCTGGCCTTGAACCATTATCCTCCTGATCTCTGCCTCCTGAGTAGCTAGGATTACAGTTGTGAGTCACTGGCTCCCAGCTTGACCTTTGACTTTTTGAGCCTGGCTTACTTTGCTTAACATGATGTTCTCTAGTTCCATCCATTTACCTGCCAACAGCATAATTTCATTCTTCTTTATGGCTGAATAAAACTCCATTGTGTATATATACCACATTTTCTTAATCCACTCATCAGTCATGGGACATCTGAGTTGTTTCCAAAGCTTGGCTACTGTGAATAGTGCTGCAATAAACACATGTGTACGAGTGACTCTACTGTATCCTGGGTATATGCCCAGCAGTGGTATCACTGGATCATATGGTAGTTCTAGATTTAGTTTTTGAGGGACCTGCATATTGCTTTCCATAGTGTTTACATTAATCTACATTCCTACCAAGAGTAGAGAAGTGTTCCTTTTCCCCCCACATCCTCGCCAGCATTTGTTGTTGTTTGTGTTACTGATGATAACCATTTTAACCGGGGTGAGGTGGAATCTCAATGTCATTTTTGATTTGCATTTCCTTTATGGTCAAGGATGTTGAACATTTCTTCATATATTTATTTTCCATTTTTACTTCTCCTTTTGAGAACTGTCTGTTCAGTTTATTTGCCCATTTATTCAGTGGGTTGTTGATTCTTCAAGAGGTTAGTTTTTTGAGCTCTGCATATATTCTGGTTATTAATTCCTTGTCAGATGTAAAGCTGGCAAAGATTTTCTCCCATTGTATAGGCTGCCTCTTCAGTATAGTTACTGTTTTCTTTGCTTTGAAGAAGCTTCTTAGTTTGAACTAGTACCATTTGTCAATCCTTTCTGTTAATTGCTGAGCTACTGCAGTTCTTTCTTAAAGTTATTACCTATGCCTGTCTGGTTCAGTGTGTTCCCTATTTTTTCCTGGAGTAATTTTACCATTTCAGATCTTGCATTAAGATATTTAATCCACTCTGAATTGATGCTAGTGTAAGGTGAGAGATTGGAATCTAATTTCAGTCTTCTGCAGGTGGAAATTCCAGTTTTCTCAGCAACATTTATTGAAGAGGCTGTCTTTTTTTTCCAGTGCATTCTGGGCTCTTTTGTCAAAAATCAGATGGATGTAGTTGTGTGGGTAAAACCCAGCTATTCTTCAAAACTCACCTTGGAGAATACAGATTTCTACATTTCTCCTACATATTTACTGAATCAAAATCTCTAGTTATAAGAGTCTAAAGGGTCTAGAATTCAATTTAAAGAAAAAAAAATCCCAGGTGGCCCTTTCTTGGGGAGGGGCAGTACTGGGGTTTGAACTCAGTAATTTGTTGCTAGGCAAGCACTCTAACACTTGAACCATTCCACCAACCCTTTTTTGTATTGGTTATTTTTGAGATCTGGTGAACCATTTGCCTGGGCTAGCTTTGAATTGTGATCCTCCTGCTCTCTGCTTCCTGAGTAGCTAGTATAGGTGTGAGCCCCTGGTGACTCTTGAATAAGCAAGCACTCAGTGTGATGGAACTATTAAGATCTCTTTAGGAAAATGGGCAGTGGAAATGAGAGGATATTACAAAGAGGAGAAAGCACAACTGGCTAATATACATTTACATTCATTCTATCCTCAGGAGCAATCAAGGAAATAAATATTAAATTATAACATTTCTCATTTTCCAAATTAGCAAACATCTTTAGAAAGGAATAAAAGGAATTATAATGATAACACTTTCTGTTGGCAGAGCACAATAAGAAGGCTATACTGCACCCTGCTGCCAAGTTAAGCTAGTATTATATAAAAAATTAGGAGCCTTGGAGTCTTCACTCCCACTTCCTGTATGGGGAACAGGAATGTTTCTCTCTCTTTTTCTCCCCTCCCCATCTTGTCTATACTTTATCCTGTTATACTAAATAAATCCTTGCTAAAACAAAAAATTTAGGAGACTTAAAACATTAGTGCCCTTGTACTACATAATTTTACTTTTAAAAAAGTAAAAAATAAAAAAATTAAAAGATTAATAAAAAAGATTGCAGATCACCTCATCCTTGTGAACAGCTTAAGTCAACATAAAGATTCAAGTGGGGGATTGTTTAAAAAAAAACAAATTAAAAAAAAAACAAAACAACTATTAACAGCATTAGGCAACCACTAAAACTGAGGCTCTCAAAATCTTTAATAATATGATAAAATTCTCAAAATTTATCAACTGAAAAGCCAGCACAAAACTACACAGAGCATAATCTCATTTTGCAAAAATAAAAAACACGATGCATTCCCCTGAAACATCTAGAAAACATCCCAATGCAAAATATAAAAGTCAAAGAAATGTGTAGAAGTATCAAATGTTGTTAGATAATATTTTTAAATTTTCTGTATAAAACTTTTCTGTTCTTTCTAAACTTCCTACAGTGGGTAGGCATTGTTTTGTCAAAGGAAGAGAGAAAGCTTGCTTAAAGATGTTAAGTACAGGGGTATGCACTGGTGGGTGGATTGGGACTGGAGTGTCCTTTGGAGTCCAGTTGAAGGTGCAGAGATTCTGATTAGGATCAGGAGAGTCTGATTAAGGAAGGGACTGGAAGTCTCTACAGTACTCAAGATCAGAATCATCAAGTTTCTAACTAGAGATGTCTGGATATAATGATGAAGAATCTGGTATGATAACCAGGGTTCTGGCTCTCATGCATGCTAAGATGGAAATAAAAGAGAAGCAGGTTTTGGAAAAAGATGGGTGAGTTATGCTCGACAAGCTGAGGATTATGCACCTGTTAGCTTCTAGGTGCATCCAAGATTCTCCTTCCCCACCCATGAATGTGGAGGAATGCTGTGACAGTGGATGAGTTTCAGGTAAT